TCACCAGATGGTGAACAATTTTTAAATTTACTTTTAATTGAGAGATTCGAAAAATTATAAATTATAGAGAATTTACTCTAATTTAAGTGGGAATTTCTCGAGAATTTTAGATGTAATGGTATATACTGAAATATAACAAGTGGCATAAGTTCAACAGGGGAAGGCTCTTGGACCTAAATATTACAGGGAACCCCAAATTAAAGTCATGTCATTAATTTAATTTTGTGATTATAAACTTAATTTTACGAGTGAAGTTATTTATTACAATATACTATTAGAGAAAGTAAATTATCATTTTTTGAAAGCTTGTTAATAATAAGCATTCGTTCAGTTATTCATATGTTTGTAAGAATTTTAACAGATTTTAGTTTTGAAATTTTGTGTGCTTCTTTGTAAATTCCATCATACGAAACAACTATCAATACTTGTAACTGAATCATTTTTAAAATTGCCATTGTATTTTTCATTCCAACAAATCATCACTCCAACTGGTTAGTGGCAATATCTAGGTATTCTTAGTAAATATTAAGTTTGAATTTTTGTTGGCCATCAGTGAGTCACAGGTTTTAGAAAAGTTCACTAAAATGGCATTTTGTCTTCTTCACTCATTTATAGTTAAATTTCACTTCTACTTTCCAGACTTGATTATTCTACTGCATCATTTTTCAAATCATCATAGTGATTCTGGACAGTCTACATTTCTTCTTAAGCTGTGCCGTTAGCAAATCCAAATCATGGCTTTGACAGTTTTTCAAAACAGTGTTGGTAGATGTTAATATTTCTGCAATGCAGTACTACACACTGCAGTTCTAAATTCAAAATTTTCTGTTTCTTTTTTGAAGTTATGAGCTTCATTCGTTCCAGACATTTTGTTAGAAAATTTAATTTTGGTTAAAGTTTGCGAAACGTTAAAATATCATATAGCTATTAAGGAATCATTATGTGATGACCATTATGTAAGTCACTTTAATTTATGATTATTTTGCTTTTATCCATCACATTTTATAATATATTCCACCAATTAATGCTATAACCAAAGAAAACAATTTCTTTCCAGCAAGCAGAAAAATGACTGAACTTCTAATATCCCATTCATGGGATCATTAAACATAAGATTTAAATTATGAGCAGCATAGTGTACAAGCAATACATTGTTAACTTCATCTATTTTTTCCCCTTGAAATTCCACACATAACTGCTGTGCCATTTTCTCCTTGATCTTTGCATTTAGATAAATCAAAGCCTTGTTTTTTATGCTCTCGATAATATCAAAATGTAACTAAACTCCTCCCTATCCTGACTGATTTTCAATAGTTACATATTGTAATACTTGACTTAATTGGTCAACTTCATATGTATTACATTGGGTATGTTGTAATAAACTATTGTTGCTACAACAAATACTTTCTTGCATTATGTCTAAATTTCATATGTTCAAAAATTCAGAGTGTTCAAGAAAATAAAAAGCCACAATATTATTTTAAGCATCCCTTCTATCTGTGGAAGTAAATGTAAAGAAAAGATTTGGAGCGGCTTTTGAGAAAATATTTTTTCAGAAATTGCATAAGTTTCAAGCACAAATTACATGAAAACTTCTTTTTTTTCTTTTCATAAAATGGTATGTAAATTGCCGTTTGTAAAGAGCTGATTTTTAGAATTAACTTAGTGTTAGGCAAAAATTGCCTACATCAATTTTGTAGTATTGAAAGGATAACTATTTCCATTTTCGAAAATACCATTCACCAATAATCGGACAAGCATCATATTTTTTATTGTTCCTCCCCATGTACGAAGAGAAAAAAGAAAAATTTGTATGTTTTTTTTAGAAAAAAAGGTGCTAAAAAGGTTAAACTGCCTACATTTTGCTCAAAATTATACAAAAACCACTCATATTCTCAATGAATTAAATATATTTCAAGACCTATTTTTGGAAAGAGTTGCATGTAGAGTGGTCTGATGTATAAGTTGAAACAAGTCCCTATTGGTTTCTTGAGATTGATTACAGAGGTTGTCGTTTCTTCATCAGGAGTGGTATATTTTGTTTGATTTATTGAATCGAAAATAAAATTTTTAATATTACATTTCATTAAACATCTACTATTACTCCTTTTTATAAACGTTTTGGGTTATTTGATACGGAAAAATAAATATTCTACCCAGATTACGTTGTCTATTCATAAAGAGTCGTGTAGACTACATGTAGATTACGTGTAGACGTAAAATTATAGACTACGGCACAACTCTGGTTCTTTTTCTCGGATACTGCTGTAGTATATACTATCAATATCGCGAAATTTTACAACAATCAATGTAAAGTTACGTGTGCCATTCGTACTTTAATATTTTTGATTACTATTGAATAATTAAAAATAAATAGAAATATTTGAAAACAGAATTGTGTAAAGAAGAGTAATTTGAAAGAGGTCCTCAATCCTCTCGCAAATTAATTTTCAAAGAATTTTCGGATGCGTCACATGAGTCATGTGGGCGAGAGACTTATACTTTGTTGGAAGACAGCTTCCTAGGGTCATCATTACGACCCACGGGCGTGGACAGTGCATTTCAGATGGTTGTGTTTCGAACAAGTTATTAAATTCTTGTCATAAGTGGGAGATATTTTTCGGGTGTAAGAGCATTGAAATATCTGCGACTGACGAGTAACTAATTGCAATGTATCTGTAATTAGTTGAAAACTAATTGCAATATATCTGTCCTTGTACGTACAAAAAGCCAAGAAACTGTGAGGTAGCTAAGGTGACAAAATGCTATCCCACTAAGCGGCATAGAATGAAATATTGGGTCCCACAGCGAGGAATGCTGTATTCCCTGCAGAGATATTTTCAGTGCGAATATTCATTTACTTTTACATGGACTTTCAGTATCACAAGAAAGCGTGTGTGCTACGTGCTATTGATTTGTGTCTTTTTATCTTGAGTTCTTTCTGTAAGTCAATTTTATGTTAGTTTATTAAAATATAAAACAAAAAACATAGGGAACAGTAATAATTATATTGAAAAAATGAACTCTTCAAATGACCATGTACCTCCACCGTCTTTCCATTCTTGAAACGTATCTCGCACTTCTGATATTCTGGGTGTATCCATGCATATATAACATAACTTACATATGTAAGGAGTGTCCTTATACAAAATATAAACATTAGCAACTCACATATTTAAAATTATTTATAAATATTTAATTGTACATAACATTGTTGACAGTATTTCGTTATTAGCTTGAGAAAGGTATGATTTGTAACATTTGATTTCAGAATTATTATTTAAAAAAATATTATGTGTACCATTGGCTGTTGATTGCATCATTGCTGGATCTAGTTTGTAATGTTTGGAATTCCTTCGGGCGCCAGCGCCTGGAGATAATTTTCTATTCTTCATCAAAAGACTTCTTGTTTCTTTTCTCCACTGTTAGCTGGAATATCACTACCAATAAGTTATGATAATGTATCATAACCATCACGATCGTCTGGGATAAAGCTTATATACTGAGTCTTTTTATTGTCCGCCTAACAAATGCGCAGTATTTTGTTTGAAACCCTGATGTGTGTCGGCACTTCGCGTAAGGGCCATTGAGACAAAACGTCATTTATTCTCTTCAATTGAAAAGTATTTCGTTAATTATTTTCCCTGAAATAATCACAGATGCCTTTCAATATTGCTCGCATTTGTCATCTTATCTCGCGACCAGAGTTCTTTAGAATATGCATTGATCTATTATCTCTGCGTGACACTTAGTCCTCCGTTTTTCCCATCTCTGCGGCGACTATCTTAATAGGCGCATTTCAGTGAAGCACCGTTGGCGCCTCACTGGTCCTTGCGGTGGCGCGCGTGGTGCGCAGGGGCCGTGGAAGGGCGCAGGGCGAAAGGCGGCGAGCAGCAGCGCGGCCAGCGCCGCCAGCGCCACGGCCGCCGCCACGTCCAGCAGCAGCAGCTCGTACCACGCCAGGCGCAGCGAGGCGGCGCGCAGGTGCGGCGCGCCCTCGTGGCGCAGCACCGTACTCCACCCACCACAGCGCCGTCCCAGGGAGCGCGCTTGTGCTCGCGGTACACGCCCGAGAAGCGACGCATGCGCTCTCCGGTAGGCGCGGTCGTGCAGCAGGCGGCGCAGCGCGGCAGCAGCGAGTCTTCCGTGAGGTCGCCCAGCGGCAGGCGCTCGCCCACGCCCCCGCCGCCATCTTGCCACGTTGAAGGGCTGGTCGCCGATGAACGGGATGCCCAGCAGGGGCACGGCGTGGTACACGGCCTGTCCTGGAAGCTCTGCAGGCCGCCTTGCGTGATGAACACGCGCACGTTCGGGTGCGCTGCAACACACGCGCGTGGGAGCCAAATGGATAGCTGTGAGTTGATGGAGAAATATGTTTTTGTAGATATTCAAACACTGAAGTGACCTTTAATTCAAAGGGCTGGTGTATCGCCAATTCAAAATATTAGATTGTACTCGTTGCTCTTGAACAGTCAACTAGACATTCGTTTCCGCGCTGAAGGTTTGAACTTTTCATCTGCAAAACTTCACCTCGTCCACCCAGTTGCAAATTGTTCGTACAGCATTTTACAATTTCCATAATGTAGTAGCTTGATGACCAAGTTTTGTCTCTTAATTGCGTATAAAAACATGTTTTTTGTTGTGTTCCAACCTTTGTTATGACTTCCAAAGGTAATTCCGCTCCAGAAAGAGAACCTTCCCCACAGTGACAGGTTGTGTACAAACATCGCACTAAGTCGTTGAAAGGTGTCAATCTCATCGGCAAGACCACCAACCTATTTCTACGGTTTACGGCTGAAGAAAATTTGAAAAGGTCAGCAGAACTCACCAATGAATTGTAACTCTTAATGAGGTACCTACTCACGGTGTATTATGAAGAGTGAGAGGAGGACCAGCTAGATAATAAATCTATAAAGCGATGTCGCGAGTGGAGCTCAGCTGCTGCAGAAGGTTCTGCTGGGAGAGATTACAGTACAGACCGCATATGATTAGGTTCTGACGTGTGTTGGGGGGGGGGGGGAGGAGGTCGAACTCAATAAGGATGCATTGGACGTGTGATGCTTGGAGTGAAGGAGATGAGAACGGGAATGAGTGTCTCATCATCGATACAATGGGCGTGAGATGTTCGGAGCGGAGGTGTGAGGACGGAATGGGAGGTCTCACAGAGGATAGTACATTGGGCGTGTGATGCGACGCGCGGAGTTGTAGAGAACGCCAGACAACGATGATAATACACCTAGTATGTTGTGAGGAGCAGATTGGTTGAGGGCGTGGGGAGAACATACGTTGGGCGTGTGATGCAGGTAGCGGATGTGTGATGCGGGGAGAAGATGATTCGCCGTTCGTTATGCGCTGGTCGTGTGATGCGAGATGCTGAGGACATGGGGAAGGACATACCGAGGACGCTTTGCGCGTGTGATGCAAGAGGCTGAGGTCGTGGGTGGAGGACTCACCGAGGATGTCCTGCTGCGGCAGCCACTTGGAGATTCGCACGTTGGGCGCTGGCCGGGGAGCGCGTCGGCCTCGAACTTCCAGAGCACGCGCTGCGGCAGGCGCGCCAGGCGCGCAGGATGGCCTGGAGCTTCTCGGGCGGCAGGTCCTTGCTCATGACGTTGGAGCCCAGGCTGAAGTAGACGACTCCTTGCTCCGCGCCGTCCAGCACGCTCTGCAGGTCTGCGAAGGGGGCGTGTCTCTTCCCGCACGTGCAGCCCTGTCAGTTGCACCACGTTGGGCAGCAGAGCGCGCGGATAGTCTAAGGGCCAGTGGTTGCACAATATCAGCAAACTCATGTTGTGCTCTGTCTCGTACACAGATGGAGGCGCTGCACCGAAATGCTTCCGCAGAAGAGTTTCCTGTAGGACAGAGGGCTGTTTTATTAAAAAAATCAATTTAGGAGAAAATGAGGCAGTCTCAAAATGAAAATTGAGAAAGTAAATAGTCCCGAATATTTTCTATTGACTTGTTGCGTATTGAGATAATTGATGAGAAGTATTCATTGTTATTCCATTCAATTATTCCGTTCATTAAAATGTAAGAAACCGTTTCTTCCCAGATATTGAGAATTGTTCAGAAAATGAAGAGCAAATTAAAACGAAGAGCAAATGAAAATGAAATTAAAATAAATGTTGTTTGCAAACAAGAATAAGGCAATAGAACAATCTATTTTAAATTGTTTTATTGCTAGTTGATATTCACATATCTAGTGTAACAAAAATAGTTTAAATAACTTTTAGTTTGCATAGTTTCGAATTCAATTCTTTTGACGTTAAATATTTTTTAAAATTATTCTTTGTAAAATGAAGGAGGAAGAGACTTTGCTTGCATTTATTTCATTCGACTGTTAAGTCGAGGTTAGTTTCACCCTCACCTTACTTTGTGTCACAAAATAAATAGCATGCTCTTACCTGCTGCGGAAAGACTTTGAAATTCCAGAGCGCTGTCAAGTAGAGGCTGGAATAAGTGTTTTGGAGACGCTCCCAAAACGACATACGGTCTGAGTTGCCGCTAAGGATCTCGGGATTGTAGGCTGGGTTGTTGGGGTTGCCGATGGCGTTGTATGTGACGGCAAAGCCGCCTAGCGAAACGATGCCTACCAGAGGAGGGGACCCCACTGCGTGTACTATGCCGAAATACGATTGGAACATCAGCCATTCCAGGAACACCAGGTCGTAGCCTTGCGATGCGTTGTTCCTGAGAATTTACGCGCGCACATTACTCAGTAGAAAATTTTGGGGGTTTTATTTTCTCGCATACATTGTATAGAGGATGGCTACAAATAATAGATGTAAATATTTTGAAGCAGTTTTTCATTTTGGGGCTCTTAGAAAATCGGGTTTATTAAAAATGTGGGCCAGTCCGATCGCCCGTCAGTTCGTCAGACAGTTCTTCTGTTCGTCCGTCACTATGTCCATTTGTCAATCTGTCCGTCCATGCGTCAGTCTGCAGGTCCGTCCGGCCGTGTGTCAGTTAATAATAATTTTATGTACACCTTTTTCAAAACATGAGTAATTTATTCAATAATTTACTATTACGTAGTGACAAAGTTCAATATTTTGGAATCTGGCCAACATTTTCAATATTACAACTATATTTTTCCTTCTCACATCAAAATAGTTCTAAACATCAGCTATTTAAAGAATATCATTTACCTTTTTAATATACAAGAACACTCCCGACCTCTCTCCCGCTTTCTACGCGATACCATTCGGGAACCAACCCGGCTCTAGAGCTACAACGTCCTTTCTATATAAACTTTTCCTGCTAGCCTCATTTCTACCTATACTGCATTAAATTATACAAAAATTGGAAAATACATGTATATTATTATAAAGATTATATTGGCCCTCTTGGAAACTACACTTTGGACAAACTTCGAGGTATAATAAGAAATTATATCAGACGTACAAAAACTGAAAACTGAATGACACTGACTATTAGCCCTACGTGAGCATTATAATTTAAATTAGGAGTAGAAAATTGGGTCACTTAACTTCGACTTTCGTGTATTTTAAAATTTTCCCTACCAATGTAGTAAATATTTGTAATATTCCGTTCGCTTTCGTTCTGATGAAGGTCAGAATCCACTTGGAATCAGCCGAAACGTTGACAAGTTACATAAACGTTTTTGCGTGTTTTAAAATAGTAAATATTTTTATTTGTTTAACTTTCAGTGTATGTGATTTTATATAAAATACTTTAAAATAAAAGTAAGAATTTTTACATATACAAATTCTGTGTACTTATGCTCTGCAAGTGTATAGAAATAGACTGATTTATCAATTTATTACAAATGCGTTATCTTCGGACAATCAAATCTACAGTTCTAATCGCTTCTAACTTCCACCGATATTTTTGATGAACCAGTTCTAATTAATCTTTTTAGAATATGTAATTGTGTACGATGTATCTGAATATGGACCCAGTCTGCTCTGAAACGTGGATACGTCAAATATTATATTAAATAGTATGTCGACGATGATTTAATGTGAAAATTGTTTCATATTACATCTTCATGATCTGAGCTACCTGAGAAAGTCCTGTATCTGCGGGGACGTCAGCTGGGCGTCTGCGATTTCGTGCATGACTGGCAGGAAAGCTTCCATTTGCTTCACGCCGCTCATGCCCTCCATGTCGGCGATCTTCACGCTCCGTAGTATGTCGTAGCTGAAGGACAGATTAATGTCTGTGTAGTTGGCCACAGGCTCCTGTGCAGAACGGAAAATATGACATAGAGAACCTGATTGCCGGCATTGAGAGCCGAGGTCGCTTAGGCTGACGGACTTGATATCAGCTTCGTGCCGGAAGAGCCGCGGGTTCGATTCCGAGACCTGGATGTTTGTGTGTGTCCGTATGCGAGTTCCACTACGTTACCCTTACTCCCAACGTTACAAAACCAATGGTCGCAGTATGGCCTTAGTAGTTAAAAAGTGACCTCAAATAAGTAAAAAAGAACCTCATTAACATTATTCCATTCGACGTACAAGTCCGGAGTTTTAGGGAACGCGTGCATCGATATTGTATTCTTGAATTGGGGGCTTTTTCCCCGTAGTAGATTGCCCCCTATTTTTCTTGGTCGAAACGACTGAACATGACATTGTTGATTGTCTCGCTTTGACCCTCTTAAGGTCGTGGCGATCGGTGCCAGCTGACGTGCGTCGTGTGAGACAACTGCAGTCCTTCATTCTACATTCTTGTATTTATTGTTTCTGAAGGATTTCGTTCCATATTTCTTGAGATCTGAGTCCAAGTGGTTCTGTGTTCGATTGTTGTTACCTGGGGTTGCTTGTACTGTTACTAGTTGGCCATGGCGGTTAGCATTGCATTAAGTGCAATATTGGTGGTTATACTGAATTATTGAAAACTATTTTCTTTCTATTTAAAAGTATATATATGGTATTGTGTAGTTTATTTTAAAACAATTGATTTTTTAAATAAATTTGAAACAAATACAATATTACTAGAAAATATATTAAAATATAAATATAAAGGACGTAAGTTGCAAATTACTTTTACTATATTATCAAAATTTAGTTGTTTTAGCCATAAGTTCATGTAAGTATTATGTAATGTAAGATTTTTGCCATACGTTTGGAGCCTCTGATCCGCAACGCAGTTCTAACTTGCGATTAGATGAAGACGAGGTGAATCGGGATTTAGACTATTCGTAGAAAATTACAGTTTCAATCCATTGTGTAGTCAGAATGAAGGATTCATATCGAAAACATATTGACCGCAAAACGCCTGTCTGCCAGTCCGTCTGTTTTTGTGTACAAAGCTAGCGCCTAAACCGTTAACACAATTTTCTCCAAAATCGATATTACTCGACCGATGTAGACGAACTCGAGGTCCTGTAAGTTTGAAAGGTGTATTTTGATTTTTGGGGTTACTTTACATGAAGCCTGAACAACAGTTTCAAGTTTTTCTCAAAAACGGTTTCAATATTTTTTGTCATAAAACTTTGTCTTCGCATGACATAAACGTTTTTTTAAAGGCGCAGATCTAATTTTTGTTGTAATATCAATATTTTTAAAAATTGAAAAAGTTCGAACGTTTTTCGGCGCCTACAATATGCACAATATGCACCAAGGTGTCTAGAATATGCACATATAATGGTTGAAGGTAGAAATGTTTTCCTGAATATATTCTTTTGCTCAAACGTAGATCGTGAAATAAAGTCATTTATATTTTTTTGCATGATTTCGCTTAATTTTGCGTGAAATAAAGAACACTTTTGCACTAATATTTTCACAAAACGGCTCTAATTAAAAACATTGCTTCCTAGTATGTTGTAAATGGAATAAAAATTGGATCTGGCCCCAATTTTCAGCACACTTTGTTTTTTTAAGCAATTAACATCGCAGTAGTACAACAATGATTATAAACATTTTTTGAATAAACGAAGTCTGTTCTGAAAAATGAGATCTTTACATAGGTGATTAAATTTTAAAAAAACGAATATTTTTTGTGCAATTTGTGGTTAAATTTATTGCAATTTATTTTTAACATCTCAGAAATGGTTCCATATGTGGGAAATGAGGGATTCAAATTGAATATCCAAGCAAGAAGTTTGGTTAAACAACGTGTTTATTTTGACAAGATGAAATGTTTCAATGACTAAATGAAGTCAATATAGTGGCTCATATGTGCAATATTGAAAGAAAAAATATGATTAAACATAACATTATGTTATCAATTAAATCTATCCTTACATTTAAATCTTTAAATGGCGATATAGAGTTTTTCAAGTTCTTTGAAATTTTCACCTATTTCAATGAAATCATAGCAATTAAAAAATACATAAACAATATTTTATCGAAAACGGTACAGTACTTTACTTCTTCGTAAACGTTGGTAAATACGGGGTAATATAGTAATAAACGTTATATAAGTGAAAGAGAATAATCTCTTGGTCTGACAGGAAACTGTTCAGATGAGGAATTTGATTCGTACCCCCGAGGGCAATGGTACCGCGATAGGGTGAAAGGACATAGAGATATTTTTTTAAGGGGCCGTTTTGACTGCTACTGCTTGGCCACTGCTGACAACATAACTGCGGGCTGTGACCAATTCGTCAAATGCGTTCGTTTAGTTAGCTTATTAGTGAATGGTTTTCATCCTCATCTCTTGCATTGCCATTGCTCTTAATTTGTTTCCTGACCTGCCAAACTCATCCCTTCTGAAAGTAACTCATCTACACCAAGGGCAAGTATTTAAATGCACGTTGCCGGCATAGACGTACGCACTATTCGGAGAACGTTGCACTGGAAATATCCTCAGAGAAACAACAGGGTGTTTTAGACTTCGATAGATAGCAGCTGGGAAGAGAACGGGACGAAACCATAAAGCTAGACCCGAATCAAGAGAACAGAAAACAAACTACATGAAACATTGTGACATTTTGTAGAACTATTAGTTCTAATTTTTTTCATTTTATAGAGTGGTGACTCAGCCTCTCACCCATGGGATAAGGAGTTTGTGTGGGTAGCACCAAGACATCCATTCGCCGTATATTCTGGTCTTCATAACCTTAGGGTGAGCTTCCTGAGCGTCACACAGCAATAGATACTAGGACATTTGGAAGGAAAGCGCCCTGTTATTATATTGCCCTTGACGGGAATCCAACCCGGGGTTGGAACGGGAAAATCTAACTAGCTAGTGTGGAAAATCCAGCCACCGTTGGGATTCGACCTTCCGGTCAGAAGCACTGCACTGACATCAGTTGATGTCCTGAGCCCAGTGTATGCTGCGAAGTGTTCATATTATTTATTTGTTTAACCCCTGACGAAAAGAGAAAGGACAACAAAGTAATGTTCTCGTAGATATGCAATTATTATAGTACTTAGATCACAGACAGAAATCTGAGGATTAATTTTGTCTTTTTAATTCCAGTGGTGCCCACAATTCAAATATAAACGGGAACATAAATATGGCGCCAAAATACTGTACCGCCCTTGTGTGCTTCATTTAGGTAAGAATCAGCTCGAGTATTTAGTAGACTCACCTTAAGAGGATCAGTGCTGATGACGGTGACCTGATGACCGCGCGCTGCCAACTCCTTCATCACCACCTGCACAGAAAGAGAAAATATCAGTCAGACGGAATATTATCAGCAGGGAGAATATGGGCGTATCATCGACGGCAGTTGCCTCGTTGATTCGAGGGCTTTTGTGTAGTGGTTTGAGAGACCTTTTTACTTCCTTGCCTTTCTTCGTGGATTCGGGTGGCGTGTCAACTGCAAAGGTCATCTTCCTTGCTTCCTTTCCCGCTCCATAGCGAGATCCGGCGCCGGTCTACATGTCGGTTAGCAGTGTTTTCCCTAACCAGGTATCTCCCTCGAACACCGCCTCCTCAGCCCGGACAAGCTCTAATCGCCGACACGTGTGGGAATGTTGTGCATATACGTGTACGTGTATGTAAATAAGGGGTCAGGAAGAGGAAAGAAAAATCGCCCGCGGCCCGTGGCCCATTTGTTACCGTACTGCTCTGGCATTTGCCCGGTGTTGATCGAAGAAACCACGGAAAACTACCGATTGGAGTAGCCGGCCTCTAGAATTCTCCTCCAAACAGTTGCGTAACTCAACCTAGCCATTGTCGAAAACTCCGAACTCGAACCCTAGGACCACCCAGTCACAAGCATTGCAGCTATACTTCATGAGAAGATAAAGTGTTATAATCGTGCGCCGGAAATTGGCGATTTTTCGACTCAACTCTTATTGCCGGGACCCAGTACCGAAAAATGGATAAATCTTGTTAGGTAGAAAAAGGTAAGGTAGAAAAAGGTAAGAAAAAGGTAGAAAATTACTTCCTTTAACACGTATTCGAAATCAATGTTTTATGTGTTCTTGATACCTAAAAATGATTGACAACAAAATGTCCAATTCCGTCCGTCCGACTGTATGACCGTCGCACCGTCTGTCTGTGTCCGACTGCCTGTCTGTGTGTCTGTCCGTCTGTGTTCCATGGTTGCGCCTTAATCCCTTCATGATTTCCTCCATAATTGATATTCCTTTATTGATCTGGTCCTCGAAAAGATTCCGGGAGTTTGAGACTGATATTTTGATTTTTGAGGGTACTTACATGAAGAGTGAACAACATTATCGAAATTTTACCTAAAAGTCATCAAATTCTTTCATTAAACTTTGTTCTTAGAAAGCGTAGAGAAAGATTAAAAGAATGGCGCCGGTCTCATTTTTGTTTAAATTCCGTAATTGTTCGAAAATTACAAACATGTTACGATGTCCTCCTTTAACTACAATATTAAAGAGATAATATTAAAGGAGTTTTTATTTAATTTTGCAGAAATATATTATAAATTTCATTAAAATAATTAATGATAAGTACTTATTAATAATAAATAAATATTAAGTAAATCATTTTGAAACAATTATTTTCTTGTCTAGAAAATTTATCTCAGTTTTAAGTCTCTGGACCTTATTTCGTCTTCGCATATTTGAGGAGCAATTAATCAAAACGCATATTGTCCACTGGTGGGAGAAATTGAGTTTGATGTGAAATCGTGTAATTTTTAATTCGTTTTTCACGCTCCCTCTTTCACATTCCTTGAAAAAGCGTTTTAACACATTATATGAAGTGCGTTTTGAACAAATCTGAACGCAGGAGCATGTGAGACGTATTAAAAATTACACGATTTCTTATCAAACTCAATTTTTTCCACCAGTGGACAACGTGCGTTTTGATTAGTTGCTCCTCATTTGTTCCGCTTCGGATACAGAATTGTTTGGTAGGGCGGGGGTTGGCTGAGCTCGTCTTCGGTCGTGTTCGGGCTTACTGCGGCCTTGACCGAACGGACGTCAGCAGCGGTCGCGACCCACACGTCATTCTCCATCATGCGGAAGAAATTGGCCCCCCTATTCACGCGGGCTTAGCGGCGACCGGCACGGGAAAGCCACATGGCTCGAGCTTTGCACTGATTGGGAGGTCGCGTTGTCGGAGGATTGGTGTCGAAAGTGATGGGTTAATGGATGAAGATAGACATATTTCATTAATTTTAAAACATTGAACTAAATCAAATTGTGGAAAGTGCCGTTGGGAACAAGAAAAATACGAGTAAATGTAATCGAGTTAACCGTACTACTTATTTTTTAAAGGCTTTGTTCTGTTCTCTGGGATATATTGTTGACAATGAACACATCTGGTAATGAAAATGACTGGTCATTGTATCAAAAATTTCTTTGTCTACTCTCCCTTCTGTTACATGTTTGTTCTCTACCACTTTAAACCCTTATGCGGTCTGACGAATGCTACGATCTTCTTGTATGTCCTTATGTACGAGCAGTTGATTGATTCATTGATTTATTAGTGTTTCTGGGCGCGTCAACGGCGAATATTAGTCCCGCAAGTGTAGTGCATTTTTTCCGCGGGAGGTGGCGAGGTCTCCCTCCGCCAGATGGCGATTTCCGGCGCCGACCTACCCGTCGGCTTGCGGAGTTTTCCGCAACCAGGTTTCTCCCTCCAGCGTGGCACCGCCCCGGCCGGGCCAAGCTCACCGTGCTGGATACTCGGTTTGATACGAAATTTTACCAGCTTGTTCAGCACCTTACAAAAACCCTACACACAAATTTTGAAGTGCTATGAAGCATTGAAAAGAGTGATTTTGCAGCAATTAGTATAGAGACCTTTCACGTGCGGAGGCTACGAAAGGTCTTGAAACAAAACGCTTCTCAAACACTACTTGTAATACGCCATAGCACTTTAAAACATTGATAAGTGGATTTTTCATAGTGTTCTACCAGCTGGCGATATTTCATGAGAATCTAAGTATCCTGCACGTTGGGTGTTGGGTGTGACAAATAGTATGTAAGTTCTAAATTTGCAACATTTCGGGAATTTGTTTAAAAAGCTATTTTAAAAATTTCGTGTAAAACGGCCGCGCTCCTACTAATTGTCAATTTTTTTCCATTTTATTTCTTGTTCTACTGAAGATATTTTGATGGAATAAATTTTGTTGCAACCATTAATAAGCTCTGCTACAGTCTGGCGCCAGCAGCATATTGTGATGCTTTCTTGTTTGTTCTATGTTTTCATTTTAGTATCTATGTGTTGATGACTGATCAGGGTCTTTGCATACCTAATGCCAAACTTCAAAATGAAATTTTAAAAATAAAGTAAAGGGATTCTTAAAGTGAAGTTACCTTTTATCATATATAAATTATAAAAAATATCACTTATATAAAACTACTTTGTAAGATAGAAAGCTGATATTTTAAGATTATGTTCAGGACACTATTTACAATAATATAGATTATAAGAAATATACATTCAAAACAAACGAAAATATGTCTGAAAAGTTTGAAAGTTGTTCACTTTTTAAGCACAAAATTTTAAAATTATATCATAAACTGTAACTACAGTATTTCATAGTAGATTAAAATGTAGATCTTTATGCGATCCAAAAGTCAGAACTAATACTTGCTATAGTTTCAGGGAACATAAACTAAATTCGTTAAAGAGGAAAATAAAAAAACAAAATGTCATAATAAACTAAAATGTGAATAACAAAGAACGCTGTAAAGATATTAAAATGAACTGGCATTAAATTATTTAGAAGAACTCATTTATACTGTGACATAATTTTAATTTACATCGGTATCAAAATTTTCTAGAAATTGGGGTTTGAAAAAGGTTAATATTGACCATTTCTATAGCGTTCATACATGTGCCCTTAATATGAATCGGGGCTAGCTTTATGTTCTCTCCTCTAACGGCGCTTCCTCGTACCTTACTTACCGTACTCACCACACTTTGAAGACGAATTCTCAGAAAAAAGCAGTCTCGTTATACCCACACATCCTCGAGGTATATCTCGTACAGACAGCTCGTATAGCAATCGCCAATCTCGTATAGTAGACGCAGATAGAAAACATTTTTGCTTTATGCGGATATCAAAACCGCAGCGCACATTTTCCAGGTCCCTGTCTCAGGAGGCCGAAGCAATTGACCTTATTTGTACACGTATTATATTTTTGTAACATTATTGAAAAAAGTAATAACTGAAATTGATATCTTTGATGCTTAGGTGACTTACAATGTGGTTTGCAATATTAAATCTTTAAAATTTATTATAATAGTATACGAGACCCACCTGTAGCGCTAGTTTGATGTTGTAAGTTGAATCACTGCCTGGCAGCAATGTTGGGTGCAAACATCTAGACACCGGTTCGGACTGGTGCCGTCTTTCATTTTCATTTGCATGCTTTTTGTGACAGACAATTTTCTTTAAGAGGAGAAGAAGAAGCTCTACAATGAAGTATCGAAAAACTAAGAAGGTATACATATTTTAACGGTGTGTGACTCGAAGTCCAGGTGACTATCCTTTAAAGAGTATCACTCGACATCCACTGATTATTTTTGTGAGGGACGATATTTGCAACCACCCAAAATATCATATTTTCTCGAAAGTATCTTCAGTGCTTAATAAAGGACCTTTATGAACTTATCAGGGAATGGGAAACCTTCTGGAGTAAATACCCATTCATTTTTATAGTAAACGCTCACATGAATACTTTTTGTTTTCAAATGTGCATTACATGTATCGAAAACTGTAACGTGGGCTACGCACTTTAATACACGAGTGCATTTGAGGTTTATATGTACAGTTGTGATATTATTATATTAAGTGGGAAGTATATAAAAAGATTGACGTTGGAATGTTAGTTTTGCATATCCTACATTTAAATATTGGAACAGTGTTTCGATTTCACTTCCATTCATATTCATCCAGACCTTTGCAAACGGGGACACATTTGCAAAATTTCAAGGTAATTGAATATGGCGCATAACTTTGCTCTTAACATTGCTGCCAGCGAATGCTTCAATTCGCAATGGCTGTGGACGCATAGAATTGTAGGGTCTGGAAATCTATGAATCGCAATGGCATTGACATAGTTGTGTCCTTAGCCACAATGTTCATAAAGTTACTTTAGCATTAAAATATGTCCCCATTGTACTCGGAACAAGACAATTTCCTCAAGATTAACTAACTTTACTGTAATGTTGAAGAACATAATATTTATAGTACGTACGTAACACAATGGTTTAGTTTACTTT